TCCCTCTCCCTTTCTGAAAAAAATCAATAAAAATATATTTTAAAAAAATAGAAGAATATAAACATTGTCAATTGTATGTAAACATAGCCAAATTATGTTATTTACATATACCACATTTTTAAAAAAAAAAATAAGCAAAAGTTGAAAAGTTTAGAAAAATACATATAAAACAGTAACCAAAATCAATCTACAGGTTCAGTGTAACCTGTCTATATCCTAACTGGCATCATTGCAGAAATTGACAAAATGACCTGATAGTCATTTGGAAAATCAAGAAGGGACCTAAATCAAGGGACCTAAAATAGTAAAAACTATCTTGAAAAAGTTAGGGCTGTACTACTTCTTTTTACATCTCACTTGACATTTAATACTTTTTGGCTTACAAACATTTAATTTATAATTAAAAAATATAATTCCATTATCTTTGTGTTATTATTCATATCCTTTTACACATATTATAAATTGTACCTTAAAATATTATTTTGAAAAAAAATTAAAATATAATTTTGCTTCAAACTAAGTTTTTTTTTTTTTAAAGGAAATTGTAGAAAGAAAATATCAGCCTTTTATATTTATCTCTTTTATTCATTTCTATAATTTGTTTCTATCTGATATAATTTCCCTCTTAGTCTGAATAGCATTGTTTAGCATTTCTTATACTGTAGGTCTGTTGATAACAAGTCATCTCAACTTTGATTTATATGACAATGTGTTTATTTTACTCTGATTTTTGAATGATGTCTTCACTAGATAGGGACTGTAGATTGATAGTTTTTCCTTTTGCCATTTTGAAGCTGATATTCTATTGTCTTCTGGCTTTTACTATTTCTAATGAGAAATCAACAGTTATTTATATAGTTGTTCCCTTATATGTAATGTGTCTCCTACCACACTGCTTTCAAGTTTTCCACTTTTCCACTAATTTTCAGCAATCTAACTATGATGTGTCTCAGTGTTATGTTGTTTGAATGTGTTCATTTTATAGTTAACTGAAATTCTTGGACCAATAATTTGATGTTTTTTTTCAAATTGGAAAATTTCAGTTATTTCTTTCTTACTCTTTAAAAATTTCCTAAAAATTGTTTTCTATTGATTTCAGAGAGAGGAAGGGAGAAAGAGAGATAGAAACATCAACGAGAGGCTGCCTCTTGCATGCCCCATACTGGGGATCAAGCCCACATCCTGGGTCTGTGGCCTGACCAGGAATGTAACTGTGACCTTCTGGTTCATAGGTTGGCTGTCAACTGCCCAGGCACACTAGCTGGGCTTTTTTTTTTTTTTTTTAATTTTAGGACTTCAGTTAAACTATTTGATGGTTTCACAGACTCCTGAGATTTTTGTTTTCTTACATTTTTTTCTCTCTTTTCTATAGATTGGGTTTACGTCTATCAACCTATCTTGAATTTCACTAACTTTTGTCTACCATCTTCACTCAATTTTTAAAAATATATTTTATTGATTTTTTTTACAGAGAGGAAGAGAGAGAGATAGAGAGTTAGAAACATCGATGAGAGAGAATCATCGATCAGCTGCCTCTTGCACACCCCCCTACTGAGGATGTGCCCGCAACCAAGGTACATGCCCTTGACCGGAATTGAACCTGGGACCTTTCAGTCCGCAGACCGACGCTCTGTCCATTGAGCCAAACCGGTTTCGGCCCATCTCCACTTAATTTTAAATATATATATATTTTATTGATTTTTTTTTTTACAGAGAGGGAGAGGAGACAGAGAGTTAGAAACATTGATGAGAGAGAATCATCGATCAGCTGTCTCTTGCACACCCGGTACTGGCACATGCCCTCAAACTTGGGACCCTTCAGTCTGCAGGCTGATGCTCTATCCGGTGAGCCAAATCAGTTTTGGCTCCACTCAATTTTTAAGCTCATCCAAATACAAACTTTTTGGTTCTACAAAATTTTTGTATACTCTTTTTTTTTTTTCTGCTGAGATTTCCTATCTGTTCATTCATAAAGACCATAGTTTTCTTTAGTTTGTCAAATATAAATATATACTTTATATAATTTATATATATATATATATATATATATATATATATATATATATAAACAATTTTAGCTCTGGCCGATATGGCTCAGTTGGTTGAGTGTTGTCCTCTGCAATGAAAGATTACTGGTTTGAATCCCAGTCAGTATGCATGTTGTGGGCTCAATACCTGATAGGGGGCATGTAGGAGGCAGCCATTTGCTGTTTCTCATATTGATGTTTCTTCCCCTCTTTCTCCTTCCCTATCTCTCTAAAATGTCAATTTATAAAACATTAAAAAATCTTTTTAGGTCCTGACTTAAAATCCAACATTTAAAACATCTGAAAAATGGTTTCTATTGACACCCTTTTTTCTTGACAATGAGATATATTTTCCTGTTTCTTTTCACCTAAACTGAACTTTGTAACCATTATACTGTAGAGATTATAGCTTATGTCATCTCCCTCTGAGGAATGTTTTAAAATGCCAGGCACACGGGTTGAAAATTGCTGCAGGGAACATCACAGTTAGAAGGGGAAGTTTCAGGAGCCCCAAAGGGAGGGATTCTTCTTTTGAGGTAACAACTCAGACCTACTGATTCTTTTTGCTGCTATCGTTATAAAAAGGGTTCGGACTGAAACTCTAGGTCCATCTAGATTTATCCTTCTTCACATGTTTTCCATTGGTAGAAAATAAAATGAAAACTTCTCGATCTGGTAGTAAAGATCTAATAGCTTTCTACAACTTTCAGGCCTTTTTTGCCACTGGTTTCTACACACACTTTATCATTCACTGGATTACTTTCTAATAAATGAATGCTTATTTTAAGCTTCTCATCTTTTCTCACATTACCTAATTTAGAATGCTTTTCTCTTTCTCTAAATTCTCATTTAAAAAAAAATATATATACATATTTTATTGATTTTTTTACAGAGAGGGAGAGTGGAGAGAGAAACAACAATGAGAGAGAAACATCAATCAGCTGCCTCCTGCATATCTCCTTTGGAGATATGCCCACAACCAAGGTTTATGCTATTGACCCGAATTGAACCTGGGACCTTCAGTCCGCAGGCCGATGCTCTATCCACCGAGCCAAAAACGGTTTCGGCTAAATTCTTATTCTTAAAGATATGCTTTTGCCCTTTCCCGTTTGGCTCAGCAGATAGAACATTGGCCTGAGAACTTAAGAGTCCCGAGTTCGATTCCTGACATTAGGCAACCAGTTGATGTGTCTCTTTTATACGGATATTTTCCTCTCTCTGTTGCTTCCCCTTTCTTCCACACTCTCTAAAAATCAATGAGAGCCAAAACCGGTTTGGCTCAGTAGATAGAGTGTCGACCTGCAGACTGAAAGGTCCCAGGTTCGATTCCGGTCCAGGGCATGTACCTTGGTTGTGGGCACATCCCCAGTGGAGGGTGTGCAGGAGGCAGCTGATCGATGTTTCTCTTCCATCGATGTTTCTAACTCTCTATCCCTCTTTCTTCCTCTCTGTAAAAAAAAAAAATCAATAAAATATATATATTTTTTAAAGTCGGAAAATATCCTTAAGTGAGGATTGACAACAAATTAATTAGTTAATAATAAAAAAAGAGAGCTGCTTTTGTCCCATCCCTTACTTTTTATGTTCTGCCTAATATTAGTTTTTATGGGTGCATTTCCTTCTTTTATCTAACTTGTAAATTTCTTACGGGTAGGGAATGTATATTACAGTAGTGTCCTCGTGCATGGATTCATGCACATTGCAAGGAAATTAATAATAAATATTTTAATATTGCTATTTGTCCTTTCTCTATAATAGAAATGTTAACCAAATTCATGATTGACAATGACAGATCAAAACACATGCATGCGATTGGTGCCAGTGAGAGCTATATATGTATTGCACATGCATGAGTCAATTTAGCCTTTTATATATATAGAATAAACTTGCTTAATTAGACCTGCTTTCTGATTTAGCTAAATTTTTCCCAGCCCAATGAAGCATCCCAACTTCTCTTTCAGGTAGTTGTCAGCAACACAACAGTAAATATTAACATGAAGCAGATTATTATTGTAGATCACGCAGGGAGAACAAAGGGTAAAATATTTAACTGTAGCAGTGTTTGACTATATTCTGAGCAGTGAGAAAACCTGAAGTCATTTTCAAGTTCCACCATTTCTTTTCAGTCGGGTCAAGTTTCTAAACTTTATAAATCTCCATTTTCCGGCTAATGAAAAGAAAATAGGATTCTACCAAGTCTCCTATCTACCTACTCCAGGACTTCTGTGAGGATCAAATGAGATGAGGCATGTGAAAACGCTTCACAAAAATTTGGTTAAATTGTAAAACATTTGCACCTGCCTATAAAGCAAGTTTTGTTCCTGGACTGAAAATACTCCAAGGAAACTAGCCTCTAGGGAGAGGAAGCTGGGTGTTGCTACCTGACATCATTACCCAGCACTCAATAGTGACTGCTTCCAGACTAGGCTGGACTATCGGCCACATTTTGTTCCATGGGGTCTCAGCAGCAGTGGCTGCAATATGGTGGGTGTTGCTTTGGGGAGGTGGTGGGGCCTGTGTCCCACTTTGGAGAAGCCAAGTGTGGTTTGTCAGCACCAAGTCCATGGTGGCTTTATTTTTAAATGGCCAGTGTGCATCATGGCAGCTCCTGCATTGAGTGTCTGTCCCCTAGTAGTCAGTGTGCATCATGGCTACCAGTCAGATGGACACTTAGCTTTTTATATAGATTATTTAGTAACCTCTATAATACCCTAGTAATCTTGTGTGTAAATGCTCAGCAAATTTAATTAGGATGAATGCTCTGTTTTAATTATAAAATATTTATAATATTTCAGTGTTCTCTATGTCTCTTTAGACTCTGAATATTAATTATAATTAAGTAGAATGTTAGATTCTTTATTAGAACATCTTTTTTATTCTATTGCAATTAATCCCTGTTTTAAAAACTCAATTATTGTCTGTTAGTTATGCTGTTAGCCAGTTTAGTAATTAGATTCCTCCATTCTACTTCAGCAAGAAGCTGAGAACTTTAAGAAGCTAAATCTCATTAGTAAAGAGCAGTTTGAAAACCTAACACCTGAACTTCCTTTTGAGCCAAACCAAGAAGTTCCTGTAGCACCTTCGCAGTCCAGGCAAGGTATGTAAATCTGCTTTTATGTGTCTGAATGCTATTAAAGCAGTTCTAAATTATTTTTAAAGTTTGCTCCTTTATGAAAACATTTAGATACCTGGTAAAAGACTAGAATTTTAAAACTCAACTTTTTATTTATCTTTTGGTGAACTTCAAAACATTTTAGAGACCTAAAAATACAGATTTTTAAGATTGGTAAACTAGTCTTGTAGTAAGCGGGCAGAATTTGAATCCCATTTTACTCTTGGTGAATAGGTAAGTAGTTATAAAGGTGACCTAGAGTCATCTAGCACCAGATTGTCTAAAACCTGGTTGCTTATTTTTTAAAAGTAGGCAGAATCGATTGGTCCTCTGTGTGTCTTTTTTTATTTTGAGGTTATGGGAATGTTTTTCTTCTCAAAACTTAAAACAATTTTCACTGACTTGCTAAATTTAAAAAATACTCCACTAAGCTCATTCTTTACTTTTAAGATCTTAGCTTTGTATGGGAATCTAAATACATTCGGAATTATCATAAAATTAATCTGACTTTTTTTAGGCAAGTGTAAGTATTTTTGTTATAGTCTTTTCTTGAAGTCAGGTTAAAGAAAAACTTTTAATTGGGAAAACTTAAAACCTATACAAAAATAGAGCATATTATCTAATGAAGCCCCCATGTACTTATTACCTAACTACTAGTTACTTTGTTAGACCATTGCCAATTTTGTTTCATCTCAACTCCACCTGACACTTGATTTTTTAAAAGCAAAATCCCAATCATATTATTCTTATTTTTTCATTTCTAAACATTTCTGTATGTGTCTTTAAAGATATAAGGATTGGCCCTAACCCAGTGGTCGGCAAACTCATTAGTCAACATAGCCAAATATCAACAGTATGATTGAAATTTCTTTTGAGAGCCAAATTTTTTAAACTTCTAATGCCACTTCTTCAAAGTAGACTTGCCCAGGCCGTGGCATTTTATGGAAGAGCCACACTAAAGTGACCAAAGAGCCATGGCCCTAACCAGTTTGACTCAGTGGATAGTCAGCCTGCGGACTGAAGGGTCCAAGTTTGATTCTGGTCAAGGGCATGTGCCTTGGTTGCGAGCACATCCCCAGTTGGGGGTGTGCAGAAGGCAGCTGAATCAATGTTTCTCTCTCATTGATGTTTCTTACTCTCTGTTCCTCTCCCTCTCCCTTTCTCTCTGTAAAAAAATCAGTAAAATATATTAAAAAATATATATGTAAGAAATATCTCTTTTAACATAAACAACACTATTATCATATCTAAAATTAACAGTAATTTTTTATAATATATTTTTTTATTGATTTCAGAGAGGAAGGAAGAGGGAGGGAGAGATAGAAACATCAATGATGAGAGAGAATTATTGATTGGCTTTCTCCTGCACACCCCTATTGGGGATGGAGCCTGTAACCTGGGCAAGTGTCCTTGATTAGAATCGAACCCAGGTCTGCAGGCCGACGCTCTATCCACTGAGCCAAACTGGCTAGGGCTAAAATTAACAGTGATTTTTTAAAATAGAATACTTAGTTTTCAAATTTCCTCATTCATCATGTTTTAAAAAAAATCAGTCTCCATATAAATTCCAAACAATGCAATAGGTTGACATGGCTCTTTTAGTCTACAGGTTTCCTATTATTGTTTTTCCTTGCAATTTATTGTTGAAGAAATGAGATTGTTTATACTGTAGAATTTTTTCACATCTGGATTCTACAGATTGCATCTTACTGGGTTCATTTAACCTGTTTTCTACTGAATTTTTTATAAGTACTATTTTGTTACAAAGGCTTGATCATATTGAGACTTAAATTTTTGCATTTGACATATTTAAAGGAATCTTTTATTTTCATTGATCTATATTTTTCCTAGTTGTATTTTTTTTCAGCTCTAATCTTTAATATTTCTTTTTGCTTGGTTTGGGTTTATTTTGCTACTTTTTTTTGTTTCTTAAGGCAGAAGCTTAGATAATTGATTTGAGAACTTTTTTCCTGTTATAAGCAATTAATACTATACATTTTAAGCATTGTTTAGGTGTATTACACCAATTTTGATATGAAGATAGAAATTTATATTATTGATATGAGACTCTTTTTAAAGAATATATATTTTATTGATTTTCCACAGAGAGAAAGGGAGAGTAATAGAGAGCTAGAAATGTCAATGAGAGAGAAACATCGACCAGCTGCCTCCCACACCATCCCCATTGGGTATGTGCCCGCAACCAATGTACATGCTCCCGACCAGAATCGAATCTGGGACCTCTCAGTCCACACGCTGACGCTCTCTCCATTGAGCCAAACTGGTTTTGGCGATATGAGACTTTTCTATTGTGGTAGTTAATCATACATATTTTTCTTTAAGCACTGTTTTAACTGCATTTTACAAACTTGATATGTTATATTTTAATTTTCCTTTTCTTCAAAATATTCTCATTTCTCTTGAAACTTCTTTGATCCATGGATTATTTACAAATGTATTATTTAATTTTTAAGTGATTGGAAATTTTCCTTTCTGTTATCAATCTTACTGATACATAATTATTTTTCTCCAGTTGCTTTTAAGAATTTATCTTAAGTTTTCAGGATTTAGAGTTTAATGTGTCTGGGCTATTATATCTTCAAAAAATATTTTATCTCTGCACTCTTTCTCCTAGACTTTATGACTGGAAAAGCAAAAACTTTGCTGAGTTCTGCTTCAGTGGCATTTTATTTATAAAAAAAAGTAGCAATTGTCATGTGGCATTTTTTTCTTTTTCTTCTTTAGAGAGAGAGTAAGGGAGAGGGGGAGAGAGAGAGAAAAATTGATGTGAGAGTGAAACACCAATTGGCTGCTTCCTGCACACCCCCTACCAGGAATGGAGCCTGCAACCCCAGCATGTGGCCTGACCAGGAATTGAACCAGAGACTTCTCGGTACATGGGATGATGCTTAACCAATGGAGCCACCCCGGCCAGGGCATGTAGCATTTTAATTGTCAGCCTTCAGTGAACATAAACAGCATAAAATAATGTTCCGTTTTTATAAAAGCAATTCCTGTCCATGAAGACAATGAGTACTATGGGCACTTTTACAGGTGTTTTGATTGATCTGATCATTAGGTTTAGATGTTACCAGCCTCATTCATCATATAGTTTCCCCTTCAACTTGTTTGTGTGGGTTTTTTTTTTTTGTTTTGTTTTGTGTTGTTTTTTTTTTCAGTTTTAGGCATACAGCAAAATTAAAAGGAAGGCATAAAGATTTCTTATGTACTCCAAGCCCTCAAGTTGCATAGCCATCACCCATCTGGTGAAGGATGTTGCTTCCCCATAGCAGCATTCTACATCAGAGTAGTATACTGGTTATAACTGATGAACCTATATTGACACATCATAATCACCCAAAGTCCATCATTTACATTAGTGTTTACCCATGGTGTTGTACATTATATAGGTTTGGACAAATTTACAATGATGTGTATCCATTATTATATTATTAGAGACCCAATGCAGGAATTTGTATATGGGTAGGGTCTGGCAGGCCCACACTGACTGGGGTGGTGGGGCCAATTAGGGGTGGTGCTGGCTGGGGAGGGGCTGCAGGCCAGCCAGGGGGAGGGGCCGCGGGCAGTTGGCCAGCTGGCCCTGCCCCCCTGGTCAAATTCCAGGTCAAACACCAGATTGAGGGGACAATTTGCATATTAACCTTTTAGGATTACATTTAGTATTTTTGTTGCTGTAGAAATCACTCAAAATCTATAGTTTACATAGGTTTCATTCTTGGCGTTGTATGTCCCTGGGGTATTATATAAAGAAATGTATCTACCATACAATTATACAGAACTAGAGGCCTGGTGCACAAAATTTGTGCACTCAGAGGGGGCATCCCTCAGCCTGGACTGCACCCTCTCGCAGTCCGGGAGCCATCAATCAGACATCCTTAGCGTTGCTGTGGAGGCGGGAGGCTCCCACCACCACTGCTGCGCTAGTCAGCCATGAGCCCAGCTTCTGGCTGAGAGGCACTTCCCCGTGGGAGCACACTGACCACCAGGGTTAAGCTCTTGCATTGAGCATCTGACCCCCTGGTGGTCAATGCATGTCATAGCAACTGGTTGTTCTGCTGTTCGGTTGATTTGCATATTAGCCTTTTATTATATAGGATAATGTCTTATTATGGGCAAGGCCTCTAATTCAGTTTTTTTTTTAAGGGAGGGACAGAATTTTCACTTGAGCCTTAAGTTAAAATTGCCCTTAGCTCAAAAATCTGCATACCACTGAGACACATCTTGGTGAGGCTCATTCTGAACCTCAACGCTGTTCTATTATGTGTATAAGTATTGTGAACCATCTTATCTCTTTTTTAAAAAAATATATATTTTATTGATTTTGTACAGAGAGGAAGGGAGAGAGATAGAAAGCTAGAAACATCGATGAGAGAGAGTCATCGATCAGCTGCCTCTTGCACACCCCCTACTGGGGATATGCCCGCAACCAAGGTACATGCCCTTGACCGGAATCGAACCCTGGTTCCTTCAGTCCCCAAGCCGACGCTCTATCCATTGAGCCAAACCAGTCTCGGCCCATCTTATCTCTTTAGTGAAAGAAACCTTTTGTTATGTTACAATTACTAATTTTATCTCATTTTTTGTGTCTTGGCTTCAAGCCTATATCCAATATTCATGCAGCAACTTCAGCTCTTCGGTTCAATATTTACCTGGAATATCTTTCATTTTATTTTCTCTAAATCTTTCTAGATTTTTATGTATTAGATAGTTTAACTGCCCTAAAAATCCTCTCTGTTTTGTCTATTCATCCCACTCCCCCCACTCCACCCCACTGGCAATCACAGGTCTTTTAACTGTTCATAGTTTTCCATTTCCAGAATGTTGAACAGATTGGATTCTTACACTTAGTAATAATCAGTTAAGGTTCCTCCATGCCTTTTTATGGCTTGATAGCTCGTTTGTTTTTTAGCACTAGATAACATTTCATTGTCTGAATGTACCACAATTTATTTACTCATTACTTACTGAAGGATGTCTTGGTTGCTTCCAAGTTTGGACATTTATGAATACAGCTGCTATAAACATCCATATGTAGGTTTTTGTGTGGACATAAGTTTTTAGCTCCTTTGGATAAATATTAAGGAGGGTGATTAGTAGATTATATAATAGTATGTTTAGTTTTAGAAACCACCAATCTATCTTCCATGCTGAATGTTTTGCAATCCCACCACCAATGAATGAGAGACGGTTCCTATTGCTGCATATTCTCTGCAGCATTTGGTGTTGTCACTGTTTGAATTTTGACCATTCTAATAGGGATGTTGTGGTATCGCATGTTAATTCACATTTCTCTATGACATATGATGCATTTTTATTTGCTTATTTGCCATCTGTACATCTTTAAGATACCTTTTCAAATCTTTGGCTCATTTTTAAAAAAATAAACTTTTTATTGTGATATTACAGATATCTCCTCCTTTTCCCTCCCTTTATCTCCATCCTACCAGTCCCTCCCTCCCCCCATGTCTTCACCACCCTATTGCTGGTGTCCTTGGGCCATGCCTGTAAGTATATAGTTTTCTGGTTTATGTATTCTTGTCCCCCAACCCCACATCGAGGTATGTCAGTCTGTTCTATGCCTCCATGCTTTTGGTCTTATATTGTTGGTCAATTAATTCTGCTCATTAGATTCCACAAATAAGTGAGATCAGGTTATATTTGTCTTTCTCAGATTGGCTTATTTCACTTAGCATAATATTTTCTAGGTCTGCCCATGCTGTCCCAAAGGGTAAGAGATCCCTCTTTTTTACAGCTGCATAGTATTCTATTGTATAATGTCCCACAGTTTTTTATTTGTTTGTTTTTTAATATATTTTATTGAGTTTTTACAGAGAGGAAGGGAGAAGGATAGAGAGTTAGAAACATCGATGAGAGAGAAACATCGATCATCTACCTCCTGCACACCCCCTACTGGGGATGTGCCAGCAACCAAGATATATATGCCCATGACCGGAATCGAACCTGGGATCCTTCAGTCTGCAGGCTAACGCTCTATCCACTGAGCCAAACCAGTCAAGGCCATGGCTTATGTCTTTGGTGTTGAATTTCCCTTCAGTGTTTTACCAACTGGTTTTATACAGTCATTGATGAATATTCCCTAGATTTTTTTATTTCATTAAAGTTGCAATATACAGCAGGTCCTTGAATAATGTAATTTTTAAAAAAAATATATATTTTATTGATTTTGTACAGAGAGGAAGGGAGAGAGATAGAGAGTTAGAAACATCGATGAGAGAGAGTCATCAATCAGTTGCCTCTTGCACACCCCCTTCTGGGGATATGCCCGCAACCAAGGTACATGCCCTTGACCGGAATCAAACCCGGGTCCCTTCAGTCCCCAAGCCGACGCTCTATCCATTGAGCCAATCCAGTCCCGGCTGAATAATGTAATTTTATTGAACATCATTTTGTTAAAATATTGATAAGATACCATAGGAACTTAACTCTTTGTCTATATAAATGAGCATGTGGTAAAGTTGTTTTTGTTATATATTGTTTTGATTAAAGTTACAGAGGCTATCGGTGATATTAAATGCGACTTAAAGTAGTCTTTAAAAAAAAAAATTCCTTCTGTATTTCTTACCTTCAGTTCTTTAAAGAATACTCTTATCAATATTTTGGTTACCCCGATACTTAATTTTTACAGGAAAGGAAGGGTAAATATTTGTTTCTTTTTATTCAGTTTATCAATTTTCTGAATGAGTTGGTGTCTCAGCAGCCTACAAATATGATTTTAAGTTATAAAGTGCCATTATGAACTTATAGAGCTTATTTATTTGATATGTTTAATTCATTTCAGTCATTATTTTTAGTGGTCAGATCATTTTATTAGTGGGATACCCTAAAGTGTTCTGTTGTATCCTCATGACCTAAGCTAATATTTTCTTTCTTTTTAAAAATTAATTAATTAATTAATTTATTTATTTATATATTTTTTGCCTAAAATTTTACATATGTCTCCTTTTTCCTCAATTGACCTCCCCATTCTTTTTTTTAAAATGTTTTATTTATTTCAGAGAGAGCAAGGGAGAGGAAAAGAGAGAGAGAGAGAGAGAGAGAGAGAGAGAGAGAGAGAGATCAATGATGAGAAAGAATCATTGATAAGCTGCCTCCTGCATGTCTCTTAATAGGAATCAAGCCTGCCACCCAGGCATGTACCCTGACTGGAATCTCGAACCATGAGCTCTTTGTTCATGATCAATGCCCAACCACTGAGCCACACTATCTGGGCAGTATTTTCTTTATTAATCTCTTTGCTGTCTGGCTCCAGATTTTCCAGGCTCAGATTATGCTTTGCTCCAGATTTTATTTCTTTTAGCAGACCAAGTCAGTAGAAAATGTAATTTAAAGACTATAGTTTGGTTTCTAGGAACCTTTGTGTTTCTGGGTTGTTATTGCTCCTAGATCTTCTAGAAAGGCACTGATTTTTACATATATTTCAGTATAAGATCATAATGTTGTCCTTGAGATTATTTATATTTTTGGTATAAGGAAAAACAGCATTAACACAATTCTGTTAAGTTGATCAGTCATTTGGTGGGGATATACTTTTTCTAGGTGCTATCATATGCACTAGTGCATTAATAAAAGATTGTGGCCCTTACTTTTAGGGAAGCACTGAGACTTAGCTTTAGCATCTAAGAGGATGATCTGTAAGAAAATAAATTTTAATTTAATAAATCAAACAATAAATGCAGAGATGACAAAATCAGGAAAGTCAGGTAACAGTACAGAAAGTGGATTGGGAGAAGAGATGGCAAGACAGGGAGACTAATAGAGTGGGTAAGTTCACAAACTTGTGTCTAGAATAGTGGGTACTCAATATTTATTGAATGAACAAAAGATTTTTGTGTGAATCTGAAGAAGTTAAGTCTGAAGAAAACTCATATAGAAATAGAGCTTACATTTTAAAAAATTGATATTTAGAGAGTGGAAGGTGGGGGGAGAGAGAGAGAGAGAAAGAGATGTGAGAGAGAAACATTGATCAGTTGCCTCCTGCACATGCTCAGGCCAGGAATCAAATCTGCAACCTGACCAGCAATCAAACACACTATCTTTTGCTGTATGGGTCAATGCTCTAATCAATTGAGCATCTCTGGCGAAGGCTGGAGCTGACACTTAAAAAACACATGTATTTTATTGAGAGAGAGAGATAGATCAATTATGAGAGTCATTGATTTGTTTCCTCCTACATGCCCCACATTGGGGATGGAGCCCACAACCCAGGTATGTTCTCTGATCAGGATTTGAACTGTGACCTCCTGCTCATGGGTCAACATTCAGCCACTGAACCATACCAGCCGGGCTGGAGCTTACACTTTTGACATTACTACTTAATTCATGTGCTTGCTTACTTAGTATTTTACCATAAGATTTTCACAAACTAATTAGTGAAACAAATGAACAGAAAAATAGTCAAAGGATACGAATGGAAAGTTCACAAAAGGGGAACTCTGAGTGATAACTATGTATATGAAAATATGCTCAACTTCACTATAGTAACCAAGGAAATACAAATACCATTAAAATCTCATGAGATGGAAAAATACTTAAAAATCTGAAGAAAACCCAGTCTTGACCAAGGTGTGAAATTGCTGGGACTTTTACATTCTGGTGGAATTATAAATTGATAAAGCCACTATACAAAGCAGCTTGCAATCAGTACTTAAGTCAGTAGATGTAGGTGCCATTTGACTCAGCATTTCCATTTTAGATATGAACACTAGAAATATGCTCATACTTGTACTAAAAGACATGTTCTTTAACCTTTTTATACAAAAAAAAAAGCAAAAACAAAACCCTCCCCCAAAACACACACCTAAAATAACATAAATGTTCATTTTCAGGAGAATGAATACATTTTGATATGTTTGTATAACAGCATAATATTCTGCAGTCATATGAATAAACCAAAGATATGCAAATATGACTACTCAAGTCACAAAATGGAAAAGCTTTCAAGATGATACATATACTATGATGTCACTTATATAAAGTTAATTATGGAAAATAATATTACATGTATAATAGTTGATAAAAATCTTAAACTTAAGACTCTGGTTATCTATCAGGAGGAAAAGTAAAATGTGATTAGGGAAGGTTAGACACTGAGCTCCAGACTGTTTTTTTTTTTTTAATAATAATAAAAGATACAGCAAAATTAAAATTTATAAAAGTTAGGTAATTTGTAAACAAGTGATTTTTAAAAATTTTTATTTTTATATATTTGAAATGTTTCCAATGAAGAAATCCTTTGACAGTAGAGAATTTCAGAATTACCCTTTTTCTCAAAGTAAAATATTTTCTAGCAATCGAAAATAGCTTTTTATTTTGCTGATTTGACTGATGAATTAGCTCAGAAACGGTTTGTTGTTTCAGAAATATCTTCAACAACAGTCTGTTCACTGCCAACAGCAGTTCCAGAATCTTCTAGAATTTATCCTGCAAGGACACCCAAAACACCCCGAACACCCAGGTTACAAGATCCAAACAAAATACCAAGATTTTATCCTGTGGTTAAAGAATCAAAAGCCCTTGATATAAAGGTACTCAAAACAACAAGGAATATAAAGCCTGCATTCTGTATCCTTTACATTACAAAATGAGACTTTCTAGTTTATATCATATTTAAAAAGGTATATTTTAGATTGTAAGAATTCGTTAAAAGTAATGTTTTACTACACTGACACTTTTTCTTTTTTTAAATATATTTTGTTGATTTTAGAGAGGAAGGGAGAGGGAGATAGAAACATCAATGATAAGAATCATTGATTGGCTGCCTTTTGCACGCCCCTTACTGGGGATCAAGCCTGCAACCCAGGTATGTGCCCTTGGCTGGAATAGAACCTGGGACCTTTCAGTTCACAGGCTGATGCTCAATCCATTGAGCCAAACCAGTTAGGGCTATAGTGACATTTTCTTAGGTTAAGGAATAACTATTGTACAGTTGGGTTATGTAGTAAAAGATGATCAGAAGGTGTAATGAAGAATTATGCTAAGTTGTATTTCCTTTCATCCTAGCCAAGGGCCTTGTTTGTTAAGTTTTGTAACTTGTATGTGATAATTTGAGTTTTGTGACTTCATATGATTTCATAATGTGTCATCCACAGTATGAAAATGCCTGAGTTGGTTTACAGTCAGAGGGGTTTAATTTACTTGAGAAGTTCATACTAGTGAAAGTTATTGCAATGTTTGACTTTTCTTTAGAGTCCAAGAAAGAGAAAAACAAGACATAGTACAAATCCCCCTCTGGAGTGTCATGTTGGTTGGGTAATGGACTCCAGAGATCACGGGCCAACAACAGCCTCTGCCAGGTACTGTATTTATCAAACATCATTTTCTTTTTGATTTTAAGTTTGTTGAAAACAGTTGTTAACCAGATATTTATAAATAACTTACAAATTAATGTTAGCCAATTATAGAACAATGAAAATACTAAAGAGAAACCAAAGAAGGAGAAGTAAATGCTCTTGGATGATCTGATCTTTTTTCTAATCATTTTCTGGAAATTTTACTAATTCTTTCCTCAGTTGTATCATCTACAGTTTTTTCACTAATCTTTAATTGATTTCCTCTCAAGATGGGGGCTCCTGGGCCTACCTGTACTCAGTGACTTTGCCTTCTATTATACCACAGGGCTTCTTTATCTCATCTCTGCTTTCCCTTGTCTCTCACTGTTCCTTCTTTTAAAAGTTCTTTCTTTCTGGCTCTTTGTGATGTGATTCAGCCATGGTATAATCATTGTAGTGAAATTATTTAATGCTGGTTAATGCTTACTATATTCTTTCAGCAGTGCCCCAGACACTGTGCTAAATGTTTCATAGGTGTTATTTAAGTTTTTATATTTGTCTTATTCAGATAGTAAATTAATGGATGTCAGAACCTCAGTGCCTAGTATATGTAGTACTCAATAAATGACCAGATGAATGAAACTACCTTTCCTACTTCAAAGCAGATAATGACCTTGTGTGAACAAATGGTGTTGAATATAGAATTACTTTGTATAACTTAACTCTAATTTTCCCATGGTTTATTTGGTTTGCCTGGGGAGTGTCATGAGAAACATGCTGGGCATGGACCATAGTATTGGTCTTGATGGTTGAGTAAGATTTCAACAGGCCAAGGTGGGAAATAGGTAGAGGATTTAGAAGGGAGGAAATAACAAAGTTGCCAGAAATATATTGTGGTGTAGCACAAGGTATATCACTTATATGCATCTGAAGTTTAAGATTTGAGAAGACCATAATGGGATTTTATGGGAAATGATTCTTATAAAAATTATGTCAAGGTTTGATCAGACCCTTTTGAATATCCTGTTGAGAAAATTGGACTTATTCTGTAGGTAATGGGCTTTGAGCAGCAAAAGTGGTATGATTTAGTTAAATACTTTTGAAACGTTGGTTTATGGATCATTTTAGACTTTAAAAAAATGACTGAGGACCTCAAAGAGCTTTTGTTTTGGGAGTTATATAATTTACTGGATTAAAAAGTAAAACTGAAAAAATAAATATTAATTTTAAAATAACAATAATAAACCCATTATATGTTAATTTAATTTTAATTTGTTGATTTTGTTGATGTAGAGGAATAAAATTCAGGAAAGGGAGGACTATTCATTAGCCTTTTCAGATAATTTGAAAATATTCTTGTTTGATATTATACCAAAGCTGAATGGGTGGTAGTTTTTTAAAAAAATTTAGTTGCAATGTGGAATATGAAACCATATCAATTACATTTTCATACCAGTGAATTTAAAAATATATATATTTTTATTGATTTCAAGAGAGAGGAAGGATGAGGGAGAGAGCGATAGAGACATCAGTGAGAGAGAATCATTGATACGCTGCCTCTTGCATGCCCCTACTGGGGATCAAGCCTGCAACTTGGGCATCTGCCCTTGACCAGAATCAAACTGGGACCCTTTGGTCTGTAGACTGACGTTTTATCCACTGAGCCAAACTGGCTAGGGTGGTCGGCACACTGCGGCTCACGAGCCGCGGTTTGCCGCTCTGTTGACTGATGAGTTTGCTGATCACTGACCTAGACTCTTGATTTTAATAATTACAGGCTGCTGTTATTCTTTGTGATTAAGCCCCTATCCAGTGGTTGGCAAACTCATCAGTCAACAGAGTGGCAAACCACGGCTTGCGAGCCACAGTTTGCCTATCACTGGACTAGGACATTTGTTTTAACATTTAAAGCTTCCAAGAGAAAGCTTATCTGGTAAATTGTGGTTAATGTTGGTCATTGTCAGCCTTTGATGTGGTAGCAGATACCCATCTCCCACCTCCCAGCTCTATGACAGACTGGAAAATGGCTACCCACTTTATGGTGTGGCTTGCTGAAGTTCTGTGTTCTGACTGCTAACTGCCTCTGATCAACAAGGTGCAGCCACAGAGTCTGGTGTCCATTGTTTCATTTTCCTCTGTCTCAGTGTCCTATTTTGGGGGCATTCAAAAACAACCACTTATAGAGGGAAATGTAGAAAACTATCACACATGCCCAAGGAACAATGCAGGCTCAGAAAAGACCTGAGAAGACTTTAAGCTTTCATCCCAGACTTATCTCTAGCATAGAAACACCCTGTAACAATAAAACAAACAAACAAAAACAAAACTGGCAAACCCTTGGGAAGAGGGAGAATCTGATTGCTAGAATTACTACATTGTAAGAGTCATGTATATTTTACCACTCACAGAGACTTGTACACACAGACTCCTAAAAAAAGTAACCACTAATTTCTTTTAGAAAAATGTATTTTATTAATTTTTTACAGAGAGGAAGGGAGATGAATAGTTAGAAACATTGATGAGAGAGAAACAACAATCAGCTGCCTCCTGCATACCCCTTACTTTGGATGTGCCCGCAACCAAGGCACATGCCCTTGACCGGAATCAAACCTGGGGCCCTTCAGTTCGCAGGCCGATGCTTTATCCACTGAGTCAAACCAGTCAGGGCAGTAACCACTAATTTCATTAGAAAAGTCTTTAGGTATTAAGACTGTCAAACTCATGGGGACAAAAATTTTAATTTTTGCATGAAAGCTCAAATTTTTCCTTGATATTATAGACTAATTTTGTTCATTTTCAAGGAAATGTCTTACACAAAACAAAATCTGAATAACCATATTTTATTGGTTATTCTTCTAATTAAAAATGGTATTCTATGAAAATGTCACTTAGTTCAGCTTACAACTTTATCACAGACATGCTTTGACTGAAGACATTTCTCTTAGTTCGAGCTGCTATAACTGGTATGCTATAGATTAGGAAGCTTAAACTACAAACCATTCCTCTCAGTTACAAGGTCAAGATACCAACAGATCTAGTGTCTCGTGAGAGAGCACTTGCAGTTTTCAGATGACCATCTTGTATCTTTCCATGATAGAGAGTAGAGGAAGAGGAAGCAAGCTCTCTCATGTCTCAGAAGAAGGGCACTAACCCCATTTCTAAGAGCTTACCCTAAGGACTTAATTACTTCTTAATACCATCACATTGGGGGATAGGAATGAAACAGACCTTTAGTTCATTGACTTTGATTAGTCACAAAAGTGTTTTTTGCTTCCTTCCATCCCATATTTTTCTAATTGTGATAAAAACAAAATACATAACATAAAAATTATCTTAACTATTTTAAGTGTATTGTTCTATAGTGTTAGTATAGTCACATTGTTGTAAAACATCTCCAGAACTTTCTCATTTTGCAAAAGTAAAGTTTCTGCCCCATTTGTCACACACATTAAGACATACTCAGGGGTTGAGATTTCATGGAAATTATTTTTGCTTCATCAAGGATATCAGAAACTTCCAGGGCATAGCAATAAATAACACCAGCACTAGTAAGTGAAATTTGGTGCCACTGTCTCAGTTTGCATCAGTGATTATATACCCGATTGCTTTAGTATTATCAGCACAAATGTTGACCCAGTAAGTAGAGCAAATACTATTTTAGTTTTGACCTTACAGACTTTTTGGAAACCTCAATGTGTGTATCCACAGACCATACATTGAGAACCACCAATCCTATCAAATAAAAGAGTAATATGCAAATTAACTGTCACTCTGCTCTAAAGATGGTGGCGCCCACAGCACCAGAGCATCCCACTCACAGGCTGTAGAGGGAGGAAGGGCTGCAGACAGAATGCTGGGCTGCTGGGCCGGGGGCATGCTCTGAGCCACCACTGTGTGGCTTGGGACACGCCACTGGTCAAGCAGATGGAAGCCCAGCTGACAGAAAGTAAGGCCGCTGTGTTGGGGGTATGCCCCCAGCATCCCCCCGCAGTGGACACAATGCAGGGGGTCCTCTGTGCATGAGCTGCAGAGGAAACACCTTTTCTGAAGGCTTAGCCAGTTTGGCTAAGCTCCCTGTAAGCTGCCTCTCAGAGTGTTCTTGGTAACTTGGGTTGTAAGAATCCAAGAAGGTGATCTAGGGTTTTTCCACCACACTCCTGGAAGAAAAACTAAGGTCTGCTGCTGGAGGGGTTAAGAAATGCCATACCCTACCCTAGCCAGTTTGGCTCAGTGGATAGAGCCTCAGCTACTGATTGCAGAGTCTGGGTTTGATTCTGATTAAGGTCATGTACCTAGGTTGCAGGCTCTTCCCTGCCAGGGCCCAGGTCAGGTTTCATGCACGAGGCAACCAATCAAAGTGTCCCTCTCACATTGATGTTTCTCTTTCTTTCCCTCTCTCTCCCAAGCTCTCTAAAAATCAATGGAAACACCCGGGACCGGTTTGGCTAAGTGGATAGAGTGTCGGCCTGTGGACTGGAAGGTCCCGGGTTCGATTCCGGTCAAGGGCATGTACCTTGGTTGCAGGCAAATCCCCAGTAAGGGATGTGCAAGAGGCAGCTGATTGATGATTCTCTCTCATCGATGTTTTTAACTCTCTATCCCTCTCTCTTCCTCTCTGTGAAAAATCAATAAAAATATATTTTAAAAATCAATGGAAACATATCCTCAGGTGAGGATAAAAAAGAAAGAAAAGAAATGTCATATCCTATAAAAGACACATCTTGAAAGTGCCTAAAGAAAGATGTCATTTTTTCATGGTGAAACACCTTGGTGGCTGTGACAGTGGCAGTGGCAGAGGGGTGATGGAGCTGGTGCCTTCCCCTGATCAGCCCAGTCACCTCCTGCAGAGGAAGGCCCACTCCCTATCTCCTGAGGGCTCCCTGTCTGTGAGAGTGGGCAGGCTTGGCTGAGGAACCTACCACCCCCCCCCACCCGCCGCCCGAATTTCGTGCACCGGGCTTCTAGTTTAGAATAATGGCTTAGAAAGATAACTTTGGCGGAAAGATAGAGGAGGGAGATGGAAAAACAAAGATAGCAATTCCATTGAAAGCATCAGAAAGTATAAATTTGAATAATAGAGTGCAAAAAAAAAAAAGATGGATTTAGGAAATATTTAGAAGTGAAATTGATTTACAAAATTGCAGGTATGTGAAATTATTGCCTTTGTGCCAGATTTTATTCATTATTTTCACTTATTAAATTTACATCATTAGCCTAATTACTCAAGAAAATTGAAAAATTTTCTACCATAAAAAATTATCTAAACTAAATAATGGATCTAGAAGAGGAATAAGCTAGCTATTCAGTTATCTGCTTCTAGTTATTATTTTAGGTTCATAATTTGACTTTTTAAATCAACTTCTGAATTTACCTGTGTGTTGAGCATAAATAGCAATTCATATATAGATTATATGTCATTTGTTTAGGAGCATTTTGGGGACTAATGTCTTTTCCATTGCTCATATTCTCAGTAGTGAACCAATAGTGCAAATCATTTTAAACACTCGGTTCTTGATATTTTAGTTTGAAGGCTTTCCCCCCCTCCTCAAACAGCAGTTCAAATGCTTCACCTTCAGAAGGTGCCCAACTCATAGGAAGTTATGGATGTGCTCCTCACTCATTCCCGAAGTTTCAGCATCCTTCTCATGAACTTTTGAAGGAAAATGGCTTTACCCAACAAGTGTACCACAAGTATCATCGAAGATGCCTTAGTGGTAAGATGCTTGTCTTTTACATGGCTATATTTAAAATTAAAATGTAATTCTTAAAATTTCAAATTGTGACATTTAATATTAGGTTAAGATATCCTTTTATTTGTTATACTTATAGTTACCTTAATTAAACATGTTTATATATATTCTTAGATATTTTGTAGCTTAGATACATATCCTATATAATAAAAGCCTAATATGCTAAGTGTCCAGTTGGCTGTTCAACCAATCAAACTCTAATATGCTAATGATATGCTAAAGCCACTCAACCGCTTGCTCTGATGTGCACTGACCACCAGGGGGCAGATACTCCTGTAGGTTAGCTTGCTGCTGGGGTCCGGCCGATTGGGACTGAGTGAGATGTGAAGGACACACCCTGGAGCCCTCCTGCAGTCCCTCCCTGGTTGGCCAACCTCCCACCTCCCTCCCGGCCCCGATTGTGCACCAGTGGGCTCCGTTGGCCTGGTCTGCACCCTCTCACAATCCAGAACCCCTCAGGGGATGTCAGAGCCAGTTTTGGCCTGATCCCGTAGGCCAGGCTGAGGGACCCCATTGGTGCACAACTTGTGCACCAGGCCTCTAGTTATCATATTCTCGTTACTTTTGGCAAATGCTTAAATTTATTTAGAAGAAACCCAAATACATTTTGAAGATTAATACGTTTCAGATTTCTTTAAGTTATGTAAAACATCTGTTGTTTTGCCTTTACTAAGTTTCTTTACTTTAAAAAATGTTTTATCATTTTTAACTTTTTCCAGACCGAAAGCGCTTGGGAGTTGGCCAGTCTCAAGAAATGAATACTCTCTTTCGTTTCTGGTCTTTTTTCCTCAGAGACCACTTCAATAAAAAAATGTACGAGGAATTTAAACAACTTGCTTGGGAAGATGCAAAAGAAAATTACAGGTCTAATATTTTTCTATATTTTTACACTTGGAGAGATTAAAAATAAAATAAAAACTAGGACTGAAAAGTAGCCCAGTTTTGAACTCTGAAAGTAGCCTGCATAACTGGAGGAAACTGTCCTAATGTCTGTTGCTGCATAGGAAAATACCCGCAAGCTCAGAAACATAAAACATTTAATAGTCCACAGTTTCTCTGGGTCAGAGCCCAGGAACAGCTTAGCTGGGTCGTTCTTGTTCAGTTCTCTAATGAAATTGCAATTAAAGTGTTGGATAGGGCAACAGACTTGACTGTCTGGAGGATCCTCTTCAAGCTCACTCACAGGGCTATGGGCAGGAGGCTTTAGTTCTTGACCATACAGGCCTCTGCTCAGGTCAGAGCTGGTGAACGACAAAAGAGGGAGAACTTCTAAGAGGGAAGTCTCAATGCCATGTATAATCTATACTTGAAAGTGACATACTATCACTTCTGCCATATTGAGTCATTCGTAGACCCACCCTGACACAGAGTGGGAGGGTATTGTACAAGGTTGTGAATACCAGGAGGTAGGATCGTTTAGGATCATTTTAGGGATGGCATAAAGGCCAAATGAAATTTGAAAGATTTATCTTCTTTCTTGTCCATCATTACCTACTTTCCTTGCATGTGCATATATATCCCCAAATTAATATGTGCTTGAGCCAAGAAAAACTAAGACCTCTCATGATATGACCTGGCTTATCTGTCCAATCTCATTTTTCCTGCAGTTAGTTCTTTAGGCAGCAGTGGTACTGAACTACGTGTTCTCTGAGTGAACCAAGCTCTCTAGCATCCAGATTAGATATTCTTACCTGTTTGCTCTTTTCTTCCTCCCTCTGCTTTACTCATTGTTTTTTTGTCCAGGTAAACCTGGCTTTTTTTTTTTTTTTTTTTTTTTTAGAAATGTTCAGAGTGAGAAAGAACATGAAGTGGACTACTACAAGCTATTTATTTCTTGGGTAAAGAGAGAAAGTAGTAGTGATGGAAAGAAGAAAAAATATAATTTTCCTTTCAATATTTTCTAGATTTATCCATCTTCAAGGTCTAAAAATGGGTTCCTCTTGTAAATCTAAAATAAAAATATATTGTCAGCCCTAGCTGGTTTTGCTCAGTGGTTAGAGTGTTGGCCTGTGGACCAAAGATCCCAGGTTTGATTCTGGTCAAGGGCACATGTCCGGGGTTGTAGGCTCGATTCCCAGTAGGGGGCGTGCAGGAGGCAGCCATTGAGTGATTCTCTCTCATCATTGATGTTTTTCTCTCTCCTCTCTTCTTTGAAATCAATTTTTAAAAAAGATATTGTGATCTTTAAGAGGGGAAAATTTTTGCAAGAAAATTTTTTAGAAAACATTACACTTGCATTGACTTGTAAAAATAATTTAATTTAATTTGCATCTAGAATCCTTATCTTGGTAAGGAATGACAGGCACATGGCATGTGTACCTAACTCTATTTTCCTCTCCTCTATCCATTGCTGACATCTTTAATCAATCCAGCAGTTTTAATATTGCTCTTGAATTCAGTAGTCTTTCTATTATCACAATTTTAATAGCTATTGCTTGCTAGTTTACCAGATTTGACACAAAAGGCAAACTTGGCCCTTTCTGATCTTGATGTTCTCATTCACAGTGTGGTTTATAACCCATTGAAGAGTTCAGAAATCAATTTAGTAATTCTGACTTGCTTAAAAATATACAATAGAAAATACAGTATGACTGCACTGAACATAGTTAGATTAAATTGTTTCATAATTCATACATATGTAGAAATTTAAGTGTAGTTTGAAAAACTTACATGTGCTTTTATGTACATACAGTGTATATGAGTGTTGTATTGACTTGCTCACAAATTAAAATATTTTTCTTACTATTAAACTCAGAAAAATTTGAAAGCCATTGTTATAATTAATTTCAGCATATTTTGCTATTTAATAAGCAAACAACTTTTCTGCAGGACTTTCTAATTCCTACCCAAGTCTAGGTTGGGAGTTCCTCCTCTGTTTACATTTCTAATAGCTTTGTAACATCTTTTATACTTTTGGGTCTTTTTCTTCAGTGTTCATGACTAGACTGGATTAGCTATTTCTTAGGAAGTATAGCAGAGTGGTTCAGCACTGGGAGGCTTTGAAATGAGACCTAGTTTTGAATTCTAGCCCATTAATTTATTGTGGCCGTGTCAAATTTTAAGCCCCCCCCCCCAGCTTTACGTTAGTTATAAAGTTGGGGGAATTATGGTAGATACCCTTGTAAGGTTATTGTGAAGATTAAACAAAACAACATGTAAAGGACTGATACATAGCAGGTGCTCGATGATTAGGAAGAAGATTTTTACTAAATATATCCATTGAAAAGAAGTAAGATTAAGATGGTTTCAAGAAGGAGGGAGAGAAATAATATTTATTACATATCTTCAATATACCAGCTATGGTCTCAGTGCTTAACAATTAGTATCTCATCTATTCTTGAAAAGTAGGATATTTCAATCCCTATATACAGGGATATAGTTATAAGCCTAGAATTTAAATATAGTTCTTTCTGGTTCTTAGTCTTTGAGCATCTCACAGTGAGGGGGTACGTGAATAAATGACAACTAAGATGCTGGCCACTTGCGCTGCTCTTTGGCAGTTATGCTGCATATTTGGGCTGTGTTATTAATCTTATACTTTTGGTCTTTGGAATTGATTTTCTAAGATATAAGAGTAAAACTCAAATGTTGTAGTAGTCTATTAGTTCTTTCCAGTAATCTAAAAATTCTAACATTCCTCTATATTATTTTAATAAAAACTAAAAGTTCTAAATTCTGCTTTTCAGAGAGAAAAGAAAGGGGCTTGGGCTTCACCCCCCAAAATGCTGATTTTAATGGTTTGCAGTGGAGCCTTTGCAGCAGTATTTTTTTTTTAAAAAACTCCCAGATGATTCTTATATGTAGCCAAGGTTGAGAACCACTGATATCAGTGTAATATGATCCCTTACGAAGAGAGTCAGGACATATTTGCTATTCTGAGCTGGTGATCCTTTAATCCTTAGTTCCCTTAACCTTCAGTCAAACAAGCTCAAAGATAGCCTCATTTATGGCTACCAGAGCACAAGGCTCTAGTTCGTATGTGGGTGTGTAGTTGGTAGTCCTACATTTCTCCTGGCAGGTTGATATTCCTCTGGACTAATACTCTTTATTTTGTAAATAAGTTAATTACAAAATACTCCCGCCCCTCACACACTCTTCTTCTCTAATACACTGAGGCATCCAGAATGACAAGGATTTTTATAATGAGGAAGCTTTTGTGGCATATTTCAGTTGAGTGAGCTAGGCTTGGCCCTTACACTGCTGTCTTATTGATTTTGGTGCGTTCATGAGTTCTACTCATCATTGTTAGTTGGAGGTTGAGCCCATGTAGTTTGCTGATCCACTATCCACAACTTGTCACAGGTTCTCTAGGTAGTTTTTTGTGGCTCTTTTTTTTTTTCTTCTTCTAATTTTCACTCGAGGATATTTTCCCATTCATTTTTAGAGACAGTGGAAGGGGAGGAGACACAGAGAAACATGGATGTGAGAGAGACCCATCGATTGGTTGCCTCCTGCACGTGCCCCAACCATGACTGGCACAAGCCAGGTACCTACCTTGGCCAGAATAAAACCCAGTACCCTTTAGTTTGTGGGCCAGTATTCCACTGAGCCAAACCAGCTAGCACTCCAATTCTCTAGGTACTTAGAGGAGAAAAACAAGGACATTTGTTTTCTGATTTATTTAGTGATCACAATTCTTTTAGCAAAATGTCTTTTATGAAATGTACTTTATTGAATGGGTCAACAATGCCTAAGGTTTAGAGGATAAGAGTATGGTCTTTATCTTCAAGACTATTTAATTCAATGCACAAATACCATTATAAACCTTGGTTTATCATTAAATCTTTTGGCTAGTTCCTCAGCAATTCCAGGGAGAGATCTTTCCTCAGTCCAAAGAAGTTAACATTCTCATTGTTCAAGAGTTCCTCTCATTCTCCATGTTCCCAGTGTACCTCCAGGAAGTACTATGGCTGAGTCAACAAAAACAGCAAAGCCAACTATGGATTACTAGTAACTGCTTCAACTAAACATCTACATATTAAACATTTTTCTGTTTGTTTGGGCCATATTTGCTTATATCAATGCTGTTAAGTATGAGATATTGATATTGTCATGGCAAAAAAATTATAAGTATTTTATTTCTTTTTCACAGGTATGGATTAGAATGTCTTTTCAGGTTTTATAGTTACGGACTGGAAAAAAAATTCAGACAAGAAATTTTTAAGGATTTCCAAGAAGAAACCAAAAAAGACTACGAATCTGGTAACAAAACAAAAAATAACTTATTCTATTTATTCATTGTAAACCCGAGTGTCAATGAATAGGGAATTTATAACTTTTTTCTCAAGGCAGATCACTTAAGATCTTCAGGCTACTATTATGGTGCTTGATGAAGGATGGGGCACCATAAGGACTAAGACCTTCCATATGAAGAGTTGCATTTGTCATTATTCACTTATCAAATGTGACTACTGCCCTGACTGGTTTGGCTGGGTGGATAGAGTGTCGGCCTGCGGACTGAAAGATCCCAGGTTCGATTCCGGTCAAGGGCATGTACCTTGGTGGTGAGCACATCCCCAGTAGGAAGTGTGCAGGAGGCAGCTGATCGATGGTTCTGTCTCATCAACATTTCTAGCTCTCTATCCCTCTTCTTTCCTCTCTGTAAAAAATCAATAAAATATATTTTAAAAAATAAAATGTGACTACTCACTGATGTTCTCTTACACAAAAATTCTGTGTAGCATCAGTGGATGTGTCTGGAATGGTGGGGCGGCACAATGGGTAAAAGCATCAGCCCTGAGCGTGGTCCAAGTCCCATTTCCACTACTTAGTAGCTATATGATCTTGGGCAAGTTACTTAACCTTGTTAGTTTCAGCTTATTCAGCAGTAACATATACAAAAGCAACTATATTCCAGGGTTGTATATGCTTCCGATTAGCTTAATATATAATAAACCACTGTATATAGCAAATGTATAATGTTAGCTGCCTTATTCACTAAAATGTCTTATTCTCAAGACCTAGGTATAATAATTGGAAGGTAAATGGTTTATTGCTGGTAGCATTATGTTCAATATAAATAATCTTTAAAAATTCCTATAAAACTTATTATGTATATTCTTTTCTGTTATTAGGTCAGTTGTATGGATTAGAAAAATTTTGGGCTTATCTAAAATATTCTCAATCTAAGACACAGTCCGTTGACCCAAAACTTCAGGAATACCTCTGTAGCTTTAAGAGGTTAGAAGACTTCCGTGTTGATGTAAGTTTTAAGTACTTTCCTCTGTATTGCTAATTTTATTTTTTTGCTTTTTATTTGAAAATTTAACTTTCCAGTTTTGAAATCAAATGTTAAAGCAGGTACAAAAGTAGTACAGAGAATTTCCATATATTCTTTTACCGAGAATTCCCAAATGTTAACATCTTACATAACTATAGTGCATTGTCAGTTCACTTCAATTTTGATATGTTTCCTATAGTTAAACAAATTATAGATTTAGTAACTTTTATGTGGGTATGTTGCAAATTTCCCACTTAGCAGCTTGAATTTTTTTTTAATTTAAATTTGTTTCTACATTTTCTTTTTCTTTTTTTCTTTCTTTCTTTTTTTTTTTTTTAATATATTTTATTGATTTTACACAGAGAGGAATTGAGAGGGACAGAGTTAGAAACGTCAATGAGAGAGAAACATCGACCAGCTGCCTCTTGCACCCCCCCACCCCCCCCCGCACTGGGGATGTGCCTGCAACCAAGGTACATGCCCTTGACCGGAATCGAACCCAGGATCTTTCATTACACAGGCCGACACTATCCACTGAGCCAAACCGGTCCCGGCAGCAGCTTGAAATTTTTAAAACTTTTTATATACTTTTATAGTTTTTGTTACATATGCTGATATAACAGGAATCTAGGGTTCCCTGCATAATAAAATTACACAAGAATGTTAGGTGCATATGTAGAGATAGATAATAGGGTAGACTTTAAACAATGTGATTTTAAAAGGGAAAGGAAAGCATTAGAAAAACAATGGGATGCCTGGATCAGTTTGGTTCAATGGATAGAGCGTCGGCTTGGGGACTGAAGGATCCCAGGTTCGATTCCCGTCAAGGGCATGTACCTTGGTTGCGGGCACATCACCAGTAGGGGGTGTGCAAGAGGCAGCTGATCGATGACTCTCATCGATGTTTCTAACTCTCTATCTCTCTCCCTTCCTCTCTGTACAAAATCAATAAAATATATTTTTTTAAAAAAGAAAAAGAATGGGATGAACATAAAAAGGTAAATAAAAAGGATGAAGAGGACAGAGAAATCAGGAAAGATAAAGAAGCATCAAAAAGTAGAAAAGAGAGATGAAAGGAAGGCTAGGTTCACCACTACTTAGTACTGTAATCTGTCTTGAAATTTTGTGTCTAAGAGGATTAGATCAGTGGTCACCAACCTTTCAGAACTCATGGACCACCAGTTGGCAACTGCTGGGTTAGATGGCCCAGAGATGAAGTTAATGGAGTGAAGAGGTGTGTTTCTAGAGTGGCCTATCCAGTTCTGTCACAGAGACATCCCTGCTATCTTTATAATAGTGGTTTGTCCTTTCTGAATTGAAGCTAAGAATTCAGGCCTCCACTTTCAAATACAATAGAATATTGGTGAAGGAGGTTATGGTCTTAACTTGTCTTCAAATGAAAATATTTTGTTGTGTCCTTTTGAGCTCTAAAATCTTGGTCACTGTAAAAGGCCTAAAAGAGCGATTTTTTAAAATGCAGGATACCCGTCTACTGCCTGCCTTTCTGTGCTTGCAGTCTGAAGGGGCTGGATATTTATGTTTAAAAGTGTTTAAATTTAGTACTATCAATAATGCTCTCCAGTCCTTGTCCTAGAAATTTGAGATAAACCTTCAAATTTGCTAAAGGTGTTTGACTTGGTATATGCCCCCCCTCCCCCCTTGTTTCCATTTATCTGTTTGTTAAACATTACCATTTAAGCAAGCCTAGGATAGGAGGTTAGGGCTGAGGAAGGAACTAGAGTTATAAATGCTTAACATTTAACAGAAGTTGAAAAAAGATGGAAAATAACCCCTATGAAACATTTTCTTGAAGCAAGGAACCCAAGGTTACACTTATGCCCCGCTGTGTAGTTCAAGCCCTAAAACAAGAGAAGCTTGATAAACATGTGTTAAGTGAAAGAATGAAAAAATACTAGCAAGATGATTCAGTTGGGAGGACATTCAAGTTAATACCTTAAATTGCTGTTAAGTATTTTGTATACTAATAAAATCTGCTGAAGCACAATTTCCTGACCTTAGATTTTAAATGGAAGAAAAATAGTATAACCGTCATTGTGTTGTCTTTCATAATTTGCAGCCCCCTATTAGTGAGGAATTTGGAAGAAAAAGACATTCATCTACTGGTTCAGAGAGTGATCATCATAGACTCCCATCTCATTCCTCCACAAAGTCACCAAATGCTGCTAAGCCTGCATCTGCCAGTCAACTTCAGATTCCAATAAATTCTCCCAGAAGGAATATGTCACAGGACTCCAGTGACAATTCACACCAGAACAGTGCTGCCTCAGTCTCCACAAATGGTGAAATGTCTGAGAAGTAGATGCTTATGAAAGTTGCTTGCCCTTGAAATCAACATTTACATCAATATTTATTTGGGAAAACCTTCTGATGTTTAACTGTGATGATCAGAAAAAAGAAAAAGGAAGAAAAGTGGTACCATTTTTTTTCCATAGCAAGATAAATTCTAAAAATGTTTTCCCTGACTTCATGAACAGGATAGTTTCGGTGATCTATTATAGAGATCCTCTATTAATGAATAGGTCTCAGTATTTCTTTTTCAAGGCCATTGTTTACAAGAACAGCATTCCTTAAATATATTCAAAATCAACACAAGGAATGCCTAACATTTCAGGTCATACTTCTTAAAGAAGATATAGTATGTTGTATTCATCTATTGAGATTTCTTAAAGAATCTAATTACCCCACTATCAATTCATATTTAAAATTAAAAGCAAAGGAAGATTACGTAAATATTTTTTAATTCAGAAAAAGAATATGAAATGATACATTTGCTTTTAGATGTGTAATTTAAAGAAAACATTTTGTTTTTTGTTTTTTGTTTTAATGAAAGTAGAACTATATTGCAGTTATATTAAAGCATATGCACTTTGGATGAGAGATTTTTACTTTTCCCCCTGTGAGTTTAACCTGATGATTTCTATAGTTACTGTTGTGTTGGTGTGGAATATTGTGAAATGGCATTAGCTGGTTACATATTAGGAGTGATTTTTTTTTTTTTTTTTTGTGATTCTACATAAACCTGCAAAAGCAATTGAAAAGTACTGAAAACTGGGTTGGAATTTTGTCCTAAATTAATTAAGTTTTGTACTGTTTTGAATGCATCAGCTCTTTGTACATCTGCAGTTGGGTTATATCACAAACAGATTACCTTCAATTTAAAAGGAGCACTTAGATTTCCTTTTTGTTTCTTTTTGTTTTTTATGCTTGTATTTTCAAGAGTTATAGTACCTTGATTTCTAATTTTTATTGCTATTGCAACTGATGTAAATGATAGTTTCAGTTTTTGTGGGAATTAAAAAAATAAAGCACTTATTCTAAGTTATTTGAATTGATTTTTAATTTTGTTTAGCTATAATATTCAAATATTGCTATTAGAAAACCATTATATTTTGTGAATAAATTTTCAGTTATAAACATATCCATTTTTATTTAGCGCATATTTTCTTACATTGGCAGTAACAGCTGGTTTAATACACTGAATTAATTTATTATTTTCTTTTTGGTGTCTCGATCCTATGGAGTGGCAATATTGAAATACTGTAATCTTATTTTAATAAATGGGCTATTTGATGAGAGATGTTAATTAGATTATTTCCCATGCATAAATAATAATTTTTAGTTTTATAATATTTAATATTTGGGGGGTGTCATTTTGATGTTTTAATTTTAAGAAACAGTCAAATTTGAATATTTAGAAAATAAAGAAGTAAGTTTTACTTAGAGTTTTGGATAGACAATGCAAAACTAATGGATTAGGATAATAAATGTTTTTTAAAAAAATTAGGATATGTAGCTTTGGCTTTTCAGTAAGAAATTTCCAAACCATGCTTATTCCTTTTAAGTCATCTTTTGAAATTATCTAAAGTTTTCTCTCAAATCCCTTTTGTGTTGAACACACACTTCTGAAACCTATAATATAATAAGATTTTGTACTTACCTAAATTTGATTGGAAAATTGTATGTTTTATATGAAAACATGGTAATCAAGAATTTTGTGATGTGTAATAAGTTAGTAATTTTATCACATTTTTATTATAAAGTTAATGTCTGTACATTGTGGAACTTAGAAAAGCACAAAGAATAAAATAAAGTACCTTTTTAAAACAAAAAACAAAATTGGTATCATGCTATATATATAGCATAATAACCTGTTTTCTTACATGGAGGTGAGCCTTTTACTATTTTTTTATGCCATTAATATTTCTAGCTCGTGGGAAGGTTGGGCTTTTATAATCGGCAATTAAATAACATCTGTTTAGATAAATCATTTTTATTTTTAATAAATATTTATTGTTCAGATTATTACAGTTGTCCCCCGCCCCAGATCCCCTCCACCCAGTTCCCACCCCACCCTCTGCCCTTACCTCCCCGACACTGTCCTCATCCATAGGTGTACGATTTTTATCCAGTTTCTTCCCACATCCCCCCACATCCCTTCCCTCCCCGAGAATTGTCAGTCCACTCCCTTTTTATGCCCCAGATTCTATTATATTTACCAGTTTATTCTGTTCATCAGATTTTTTATTGACTTGATTTTTAGATTCACTTGTTGATATGTATTTGTTCATAATTGTTATCTGTACCTTTTTCTTCTTCCTCTTAAAGAATACCTTTCAGCGTTTCACATAGTAATGGGTTAGTGGTGATGAACTCCTTTAGCTTTTTTTCTTATCTGTGAAGCTCTTTATTGCCCTTCAATTCTGAATGATAGCTTTACTGGGTAGAGTAATCTTGGTTGTAGGTTCTGACTATTCATTGCTTTGAATATTTCTTGCCACTCCCTTCTGGCCTGCATAGTTTCTGTTGAGAAATCAGCTGACAATCGTACGGGTTATCTCTTGTAGGTAACTGTTTTTCTCTTGCTGCTTTTAATATTCTCTTTGTCTTTTGCCAAACTGGTTAGGGCTGCAGTTTTTTAAAAATTTTATTTCATACAAAAGCCAGTGTTGTGCAAACTTGATTACTAACTCTGCATGATGTTGCAGAAATGAAGGGAACCAGGTTTGCTAAAGTAATTGTGATGATAGAATGTATTAGCCTCAGAAGCTATTGAGGTGGTTCATTCTATCCTAGTACAGTGTAACTACCAATTACTGCTAATAATGATTTTAAACATTGTATTAATGTGTTTATTTGATTTTTGGCACTATGTGGTAATAGGACAGTATCACAAAAGTTGGGGGTTGGGAAAATTAGCCTAAAATAAGTGCATATATTGGAAATCTTATTACAAATAAAACACAGCTCTGTCCTCTTTAACTGTACTTTTTAAGAATAACATTTCTGTCTCTTATAGAAAAATCAAAGGCAGTAATATTAAAAAGTTTAAATGAAAACTACTTTCCTACTAAAAGGGATTAAGGAAGTTATGTTTAAAATTGATTTTTATTTTTCTTGCAGAGTTCAGCTTTTTATTGAATGTGATACAAAAGCGGTTTTGTCAGAAAGACCAAAGTCCATGTCTTCCTCAGACCCCTCCATTTTTCTTGGCTTTCACTCTCTTCTGCTCCGCTGGGGCAGTGTGGTGGAGGGGCAGGACCTCCTGCTGGTACAGCACAGCTGCTGGGGCAGGTTCACCAGCCCCTACACTGCCGATGAGGCTCCCTTTGTTGATATTGGCCAAAGCCTTTGCAAACAGGCCTGGTCAGAAAGGCTCAATATTGCCCTAGCTGGTCTGACACAGTGGATAGAGTGTCCACCTGAGGACCAAAGGGTCCCAGATTCGATTCCGGTCAAGGGCATGTACCTTGGTTACAGGCTCCTCCCCAACCCAGCCCTGGTTGGGGTGCATGCAAGGGGCAACCAATCCATGTTTCTGTCTTTCCTTCCTCCTTTTACTCTCCCTAAAAATCAATGGAAAAATATCCTCAGGTGAGCATTAACTAAAAAAAAAACAAAGGTTCATATTTACACTGGCTTCTTTAATGAGGGCATTGATCTTATCCTCAGAGTGAGGATGCAGTAGATGCAGGTGAGCTCAGAGACAGAGGCCATAGTATGGATGAGTGCAGGGTCCATGCTGGGGGGTACAGTGCTAGTCGCCTGATGAACTGAGGGCTCACCCCAATATGGCCCTAGCTTATTTGAAAGGACCAAACACCTTACTGATAGGGAAAGAGGCTTTTAGTTTTTAATTTATTTGCAGTTTGGTACTCCAATCTGACACTCTCTCGTGCTTTTTGCTGTTATACTAAATCAGTGGTTGGCAAACCGCGGCTCTTGAGCCACATGCGGCTCTTCCACAAAATATTACGTGCTTGCCCGCAGGTACAGTGCGATTGAAACTTCGTGACCCACGCACAGAAATCGGTTTTCGGTCTGGGCGAGTCTATTTTGAAGAAGTGGCATTAGAACACTCAAGGGGTCAAAGAGCCACATGTGGCTCTCGAATCGCGGTTTTCTGACCGCTGTGCTAAATGATATTACTACTTTCCTTTCTGTATTTAATCTTGCCTTTCAACTAATTTCTTAGCTCTTGTGAACCGCTTATCTTTATTTTCCTCTTGCATAAGGAAGACATTCAATATAGCCGTGATTTTCTACTCGTGTGCCACAAGGATTTTTAATTTTTAAAATTCATTTTGAGAGAGAAACAAATTTGGTGTTTCACTTATTTTTGCATTCATTGGTTGCTTCTTATATATGCCCTGACCTGCAACCTTGATGAATCAGGACAAAACTCTAACCAACTGAGCTCCCCAGCATACTTAAAAAAAATAATTCGTAATTGATTTTTAGAGACAGAAAGACAGACACACACAGAAAGAGGAAAGAATTCTTAAAGCATGCAATACCTAACTAGTCAGGGGCACTGACCTTTTATCCCTTGGATTATCAAATAAAAAAAGACAACACAATAATAGCCGCCTAGTGTGAATGAATCAAAATCTTACCTATTTTTTTTTTTCAGAATGGCAAGATTATAATTTTTTGGTGTGCTACAGAATTTTAGTAATTAGTATGTGCCATGAGATGAAAAAGGTTGAAAATTGCTGAGATAGAATAATGCCTACTTTTATTGCCACTAGATGGCAGGATGAAATAAGTCAAATCTGTAGTCTTTTGACAGAATGAGTGTGTGTGTGTGTGTGTGTGTGTGTGTGTGTGTGTGTGTGTGTTCAGAGAACTCTAACTCCATCTTGTGGTGACATAAAATTATATCAATTACTCTTGCTTTCCTAACAAGTCCTTATTACTTTGTTAGGGCACTGTCAAGTAGTGCTTAGTTATTAGTAAATACAGCAACAACATTAAGATTTGTGTATGGTTAAAGATAAAAATACTATTGCTTTATTTTCT